AACCCAAAACTTGCTGGTTGTAGAGAAAATGAAGCGCTGAAAGAATCTAGAAATTATAGAAACTGATGCTCAGAACTGGATGTCAGAGATCGATAAATCACTGCAGAAGCTGAAAATTCTTGGAGGCGAAGTCCAAGCAAACAAGAGGGTCTTAGTGAATCCCAGACAACGTAAACCCTCAGTAAAAAGGTAAAGAATAAATATATGTTGTGCTGATATATGCTAAAATTGTGTAGTTTTGTGTTTTATACTTTCTGGGTTTGTTTAAGGCATTTCATTGAACATGTTGATGGAAAGCTTTTGAGGAATGGTTCTTTAGCAACATGTTGGAAATGCTTGAGGAATGGTTTCTTACATGTGGTGTGTTTGTTGACAAAGTTCAAAGAAGCATAAACAAAGTACTACTTGGACCTGATTGGTTTGCTCGCAAACAAATGACAGTTACAACCTGGCATGAGGTGATTTCCAACTACTTGAATTTATTAATGTCTCAATCGATTGATAAGCCTAATTAGTTCATCTTCTGGTCTTGCAATCCCTGAGCAAGACCCCATTTAATTGTTTCGTTGTGTAGCCAGATGCATGCTTATTTCATCGAGGGGTGAAGCAGAGTATTACCTTGGCCATTACTATATCCTTAAAATTATTGCTTAATTCTTACATTTGCTTACTTTTTCATTCATGCATATACTTATTTGTTTATTTCTTACATTGACATAATGCAATCTTACATTACATTTACAAAATTCAGACTATAGGCATTACAAATTAGTCTATCTTTTATGTTGATTTCCAAGCAGACCTAGATGATTTCTTTTGAAGAAATCCTTTGGTGGTTTTTGCCAGTGTCACCTTGCGTATATTGTAATTGTGTTTTATCCAAGAAATTCGAACAGTTAAATTGTTTTTTTTTTCCCTAATGATTCATTGATTGGCAGAACATTGTGTGATTCGTATTACCAAAGGATTTTTCATCTCTGACTGTATCTTGCTCTTGTATTTTGAATTTCAGATTTGCGTCAGTCTGATCTTTGTGTTGTTAATGCAAAGAGGATTGGCTCACATCTTACTATTATAGAAGGCATGTGTATCTGTCTTAAAAATTTCTCCAATACTATCAAACATGAATTGTATTCTAATTTCAAGTTCCTTGCTGCTGAATGTATGTAGGGTACTCTACTTTTCTTAACTTCTAATATTTTTCATTTCTCTAGATGAATTATTTATCTTTGAAATAACTACAAAATCATGATTTTTTAAACTATATGATGTTTTGGTGTATCACTAAATTGGAAGTGGAGTTTGATTCAGAAGGAAGTACACAACCATGTTCTTTAGTGTCAACATGATTGATTGATAGAGAATCAAAGCCAAAGCATAGTTTCTTAGAATTAATTTTTAATGGGAAAAAACAACTTAATTTGTTTTCCAATAGGCAGTATCTTTGTTTTCGTTTATGTTTTCTTTGTTGATATTGAGGATTGTGGATAGGGAAATCACTATCGTCCAGCCAAGATACCTTTGACTTTAGTGAGCCCCTTAAATTTACAGAGGTAATTTATTTGTTTTTGCTTAATTTCATGATACAAATTGTATGAGAGATGAATATGACATAGATCCCAATTATCGAAATTCAATCTGGAACATTTAGATAGTGGTAAGGGTTGTTTGACTTTCGGTTTCCATGTTGTAATAGCTATTGTTGTTGTATCCTAGAGGCAGTGTAATTTGTGCTGTACTTTACTTATTGCTATAACTTCATTCTATTTAGGTCAGAAACCATTGAGAGAACCTACACAAGTAGGTTGTGACAGAGCAGAGATCATTGCGTTACTCAGAATTAAGGGAATTTTGTCTACACCTATGGTTGATACCACTATTTTGGGTTATTCTACATTTGAGATTCTAGCATATCAGTTTCACAGTCCAAGTCTCAAGTGTTCTACTGTCCTAAATCAAGAAAGAGTTAAACATAGCAAATCCAGGAAGGATATATAAACTCTTTAGAATCAACATGTTGTGATTGATTCTACCCTGGTAGTTGCAACAGTTGTTATGAAATCTATGCTATGGCTTAATTATTGAAATTCATCAGAATATCTATGAATTCATACTGCCGACGCTGTTATGTACAAAATAAACAACTGAACTTTTTAAATCAATGACTTTACACTATGGTCATATGTCATTGCTAGTTGCCACTAATATAAAAATTTGAAACTATTTGACTTCATTCAGGTACCATATATATATATATATATATATGCAAAAGTTGCTTATGCTCATGTCCTTCCTACTGGTTACTCTTGAGTCTGACAAAGAAAGATGATGTGGCTTGCTGTGAGAGAGATTGGAGTGAAATACAAGAACGTTGTATAATAATTCTATATATATTTCAATGGTATACATATAATATAGTTGCTGATGCTTGTGAAATAGGGATGTCTGTGAAACATTCAAAATACGACCCAGATATCTTGGTACATTCAAAATAGTTAAGTGATTGAGTTTGTCTCTAATAGGTTTCCTTTTTATATTGATCGAATTTATGATATGTGAGACTGTCCCATGTAACTTTTTCTTGGACAGAGGATGGTGTGTAGGGCAGCATTTGTCTTGCAGTTTTGTTCACCTAAATTTCAGCTATACATTCTAAGAGATATTGGAACAATTCAATTCAAAGTCAAAATGATATTAAGGGCATTTATAACGCTTTTGTCAATTACATGATTGTATTTTTCAGGATTATTTTTAAATGTAAACATATAACCTTGATTGTAATCCACATGTTCAGGCTAAAATGTATACATTGATTTCTCTTGCTGAAGACAAGAATTTGATTCTGAATACTTCACAGATTGAGCTCGATGGTTATAAAAGAAAAGAATGAAATCATTCATTCATGGATTGTTTTGATACTAGCTTCACAAGTATCTTCTTGCCAATGAAGCATATTCATTTCTCTTGCAGAAGACAAGAATATTTCTAGATTTCTTCTTATGCTGAATATATCAATTCATAATTACAACTATTTTGTTGAAAGAAAAGATGAGCATGTAATAAGGATTGAAACTTATTTTCAATATCAATTTCATCCTACTTCTTTATATCATTCACTTTTATTGCTTTATATATTCCTTTGTTTTTATATTTTTTTAAGGGAGACAAACCAGTCTTTTGAACAAAAATATTTCATAAATCTCTTTCTTACAGATTCTAACTCATAACATTATTTAAAGAAAGAATGATCTGTAACAGGATGGAACCAAGCAACCGAGAGCAAAAGGCAATAAGGATGGAATCAATTACATACCTTGCTTCTTCTTCTCATTCAAATTTTCTTTTCTTTTTATGCGTATCATTTCACAACACCAACCAACTCAAAGATGCATACATAACTTCCTTCTTCACACCATGGACAGTTAATCCTCGAATGACATACTTCATGTTACTCTTGTGTTAAACTATTCTGATAATATATTATTTGTGTATGAAATGATGAAGTAAGAAAGAATCGCATAAAAAGAAAGAAATTTATTAGAAATAAGAAAAGAGAAGGTGTACAGCATAAAGCAAAGAAAAGCAAATGGTATGAAGAAGGAAGGTCTATATTACATAATGCATTTGGAAATGAATGATTCCATCCTTCGCCTCCTCCCAAGACTGCTTTCTTTTATAACATGCTACTGTGTTATATGAATCTCTCATGTATTCAAAATCAAATGCAGATATATTATTAGTTAAATTATGTAGAAATATCTTGTCCTCAGAAGAGCAAATCAATATGTACAGAAGCAAATTATTTACACAAAGATAGTACATATTGATAGACAACATCCAATAAACTTGAAACATTGTTGATGGAACCAAGCAGCCTGGACATGCTATAGATTTTGACGCATTAACATGTTATAAAGTAAAGATGATGGTTGCAAGCAGCCTTGGCAGCAAAGGCAGAGGATGGAATCATTCAAAAAATTTCAGGATCAATTTCATGCTTTCTTCTTCATATAAACACTTTCTTTGCTAAACGTTTCTCTTTTCTTACTGTGTTGTCCTCCTAAATACCCTTCTCGAAAATTACGATACCTTCTTCACTCAAAGATGCATTACATACCTTCCTTCTTCACACCCATTTAATTTTCTTTGCTTTATGATGCAACCTTCTCTCTTTTCTATGTCATATCAATATTTCTTTTCTTTTGTGCTTCATTTCTTTACTTTTTCATTTCATGATGCAAACAATATATTATCAAAGTAGTTTAACACAAGAGTTAAGAATGAAGTAGATTTTAAATATATATCTTGCTATACTTATATGATTTTATACGTAAAATTTGATTGTTGCTTTTATATCCAGCTCATTGTATTCTTCATGCTCAATATAGATATTGATTTTCTCATTCCGAAGACATTTCTTGTAGAATATATCTACATTTTATTTTGAATAAATTAATTGTAGATTCTAACACATTAGCATGTTATAAAAGTAAAGAAAGAAATATGTTGTAATTAATAAGGATGAAACCAAGCAGGCTTGACAGCAAAGGCAGAAGATGAATTACATGCTTTCCTTCTTCAGATAAATCGCTTTTCTTTGCTCAAACTTTTCTCTTTTCTTATTCATTTATATACTCCTCCTCCTTTTAATTTGTGCTTTTCTTATTCTTATCATTTCTCAAATTGCATTCGTCCTCTTTGTTACAACCTAGCTCACAAAATCTCTCCTAAATACCTTCTTTCACCTTCAATCACTCAAACAGAATTTTCTCTTTCACCTTGCTTGAATTTATTTCACTTCTTTTCCGTTTGTTCTTATCATTTCACAACGCTCAATCATTCATTCTTTAATTAATTTCTTCATCTGATTGTGTTTGTGTCCTCCTCTTTGTTGCAAACTAAGCCACTAAATTTCTTCTAAACCTTTTCTTCAAATCCTTTCTTTTATCCTTCTCTCACCTTCAAAGAGTACTTAGTAGGAAAAAAAAAAAAAAAAAGCCATGGAATTTCTTTCTTCAATTACTGTGGAGGTCGGAAAGTGCTTGTTCACAGCCGCTGGTGATCAACTTGGTTACTTGTTTCATTACAACGACAATGTTGAAAACTTGAAAAAGCAAGCTAAGAAGCTGGAAGATAGCAGAGACACGGTGAAAATGAAAATAGAATCTGCTAAAAGCAATGGAGAAAACATTTTTCCTGATGTTCAAAGCTGGATAGCAGAAGCTGAGAGTATTTCTGCAAAAGCTAAAAAGTTTATTGAAGATGAAGTCAAAGCCAACAAGAGGTGCCTCAAAGGGTGGTGCATTAATCTCAAACAATGTTATCGATTCAGTAAGGAGGCAAAGAAGCATACTCTGGAGATTTCTGACCAGCTCCAAGCAGTGGAAAAGTTTCAGATAGTGTCTTGTCCTGCTCCTCCGTCTGGAATTATATTGCCATCAAAGTTGTTTTCTTCAGGCACTTTTGAATCTAGAAATTCAATTAAGAAGCAAATTGTGAAGGTGCTAATTGATGATCATAATGTCAGCATAATTGGAATATGTGGGATGGGGGGCGTGGGTAAGACCACACTGGTCAAAGAGATCAGCAAACAAGTAAAAGAAGAAAAGATGTATGATGTGGTGGTGATGGCGGTTGTGTCTCAGACTCCTAATATTGTGAAGATTCAAGAGGAAATTGCTAACATGTTGGGTTTGAAACTTTCGACTGATATCGAGTCAGGAAGAGCACGATCCTTGTGGGAGAGAATCAAGAAAGAGAAGCGGATTCTTGTCGTGTTGGATGACGTTTGGGAAAGAATCAAATTGGATGAGATTGGTATTCCTTTTGGGAGTGACCATAGAGGTTGTAAAATTTTAATCACCTCTTGGAGGACGAAGTCAAAGCAAACAAGAGGTGTCTTAGTGAATCCCAGAAAACGTAACCAACTCAGTAAACAGGTAAAGAATAAAATTTATGTTGTGCTGATTATATGCTAAAATTGTGTAGTTTTGTGTTTTTATACTTTTGGGTTTGTTTAAGGCATTCATTGAACATGTTTGATGAAATGCTTTTGAGGAATGGTTTCTTCATGCAACATGTTTGATGAAATGCTTGTGAGGAATGGTTTCTTACATGTGGTGTGTTTGTTGACAAATAGTTCAAAAGAAGCATAACAAGTACTACTTGGACCTGATTGGTTTGCTCGCAAACAAATGACAGTTACAACCTGGCATGAGGTGATTTCCAACTACTTGAATTATTTATATGTCTCAATCGATTGATAAGCCTAATTAGTTCATCCTTCTGGCTTGCAATCCCTGAGCAAGACCCCATTTAATTGGTTCTGTTTGTGTAGCCAGATGCATGCTTATTCTCAGAGGGTTGAAGCAGAGGTATTACCTTGGCCATTTACTTATCCTTAAAAATTGCTTTAATTACATTTGCTTAACTTCTTTTCATTCATGATATTACTTATTGTGTTATTTCACATGACATAATGCAATCTTTACATTTACATTTACAAATTCAGACTATAGGCATTACAAATTAGTTATTATCTTTATGTTGATTTCCAAGCAGCCTAGATGATTCTTTTGAAGAAATCCTTTGTTGGTTTTTGCCAGTGTCACCTTGCGGTATATTGTAATTGTGTTTATCCAAGAAATCGAACAGTTAAATGTTTTTTTTTTCCCTAATGATTCATTTGATTGGCAAGAACATGTGTGATTCGTATTACCAAAAGTTTTCATCTCTGACTGTATCTCTGCTCTTTGTATTTTGAATTCAGATCTTGCTGTAGTTTGATCTTTGTGTTGTAATGCAGAAGGATTGGTCACATCTTACTTATCATAGAAGGCATGTGTATCTGTCTTAAAAATTTCCCAAAACTATCAAACATGAATTGTTTCTAATTTCAAGTTCCTTGCTGCTGAATTGTATGTAGGGTACTCTACTTTCTCTTTATCCTTCTAATTATTTGTTCATTCCTCATAGATGAATTATTTATCTTTGAAAATAACTACAAAATCATGATTTTAATACTATATGATGTTTGGATGGTACACTAAATTGGAAGTGGAGTTTGATTTCAGAAGGAAGTACACAACCATTCTTTATGTGTCAACATGATTGATTGATAGAGAATCAAAGCCAAGCATTGTTTCTTTAGAATTAAATGTTTTTATGGGGAAAAAAAAACCTTAATTTGTTTCCAATAGGCAATCTTTGTTCCATTTGTTTTTTTTGTTGATATTGATGCATTGTGGTAAAGGGAAATCACTATCGTCCAGCCAAGATACTTTGACTTTAGTGAGCCCCTTCAAATTTACAGAGGTAATTTATTTGTTTTGCGTTAATTTTCATGATACAAATTGTATGAGAGATGAATATGACATAGATCCCAATTATCGAAATTCAAATCTGGAAAATTTAGATAGTGGTAAGGGTTGTTTTGACTTTCTAGGTTTCTCATGTCTTGTAATAGCATTGTTGTAATTCCTAGAGGCAGTGTAATTGTGCCTGACTTTAACTTTATTGCTATAACTTCATTCTATTTAGGTCAGAAACCATTTGGAGACCTAACAAGTAGGTTGTTGACAGAGCAGAGATCATTGCTGTTACTCAGAATTAAGGTAATTGTCTACACATGGTTGATACACATATTTTGGTTATTACATTGAGATTCTAGCATATCAGTTTCACAGTCCAAGTCTCAAGTGTGTTCTACTGTCCTAAATTCAAGAAAGAGTTAAACATAGCAAATCAGGAAGGATATATAAACTCTTAGAATCAACTTATGTGTGATTGATTCTACCCTGGTATGTTGCAACAGTGTATGAAAATTGCTATGGCTTATTTATGAAATTCATCAGAATATCTATTGAAATTCATACTGCCGACGCTGTTATGTACAAAAAACAACTGAACTTTTTAAATTCAATGACTTACACTATGGTCATATGTCATTGCTAGTTCCACTAATATAAATTTGAAACTATTTGACTTCATTCAGGTACCATATAATATAAATATATGATGCAAAAGTTGCTTATGCTCATGTCCTTCCTACCTTGGTTACTCTGAGTCTGACAAAGAAAGATGATGTGCTTGCTGTGAGAGAGATTGGAGTGTAAATACAAGAAACGTGTTAAAATATATATATATATAATTTCTTCAATGGTCTACTATAAATAGTTGCTGCTTTGTGAAATAGGGATGTCTGTGAAACATTCAAAATACGACCCAGATATCTTGAGTAAACATCAAAATAGTTAAAGTGATTGAGTTTTGTCTCTAATAGGTTTCCTTTTTTATTTGATCGAATTATGATATGTGTGCCCAGTAACTTTTTGGGCAGAGGATGTTGTGTAGCGGCAGCTATTTTGTCTTGCAGTTTGTTCACCTAAATTTCAGCTATACATTCTAAGAGATATTGGAACCATTCAATTCAAAGTCAAAATTGATATAAGGGCATTATAACTGCGTTTGTCAATTACATGTTGTATTTTTCAGGATTTTATTTTTAAATGTAAACATATAACCTTGATTGTATCCACATGTTCAGGCTTAAAATAGTATACATTGATTTCTCTTGCTGAAGACAAGAATATTGATTCTGAATACTTCACAGATTGAGCCTCTGATATGTTATAAAAGAAAAGAATGAAATCATTCATTCATGGATTGCTTTTGATACTAGCTTCACAAGGATCTTCTTGCCTAATGAAGCATATCATTTTCTCTTGCAGAAGACAAGAATATTTCTAGATTTCTTTTTTATGCGAATATATCAATTCATACTACAACATTAATTGTTGAAAGAAAAGAATGAGCATGTAATAAGGATTGAAATTATTTTCAATATCAATTTCATCCTTACTTCTCTATCATTCACTTTTATTGCTATATATTCCTTTGTTTTTATACTTTTTTTAAGGGAGACAAACCAGTCTTTCTGAAAACAAAATATTTCATAAATCTCTTTCTTACAGATTCTAACTCATAAATTATTTAAAGAAAGAATGATCTTTAACAAGGATGGAACCAAGCAACCTGAGAGCAAAAGCAAATTAAGGATGGAACAATTACATACCTGCTTCTTCTTCTCATTCAAATTTCTTTTCTTTTTATGCTGTTATCATTTCACAACACACAACCAACTCAAGATGCATTACATACTTCCTTCTCACACCATGGACAGAGTTAATCCTCGAATGCACACTTCATGTTAATCTTGTGTTAAACTATTCTGATAATATATTATTTGTGTTATGAATGATGAAAGTAAAGAAAGAATCGCATAAAAAAGAAAGAAATTTATTATGAAATAAGAAAAGAGAAAGGTTCAGCATAAAGCAAAGAAAAGCAATGGTATGAAGAAGGAAGGTCTATATAATAATGCATTTGGAAATGAATGATTCCATCCTCGCCTTCCCTCCAAGACTGCTTTTCTTTATAACATGCTACTGGGTTATATGAATCTCTCATGTATTCAAAATCAAATGCAGATATATTATTTAGTTAAATTATGTAGAAAATCTTGTCCTAAGAAGAGCAAATAATATGTACAGAAGCAAATCTATTACACACAATCTAGTACATATTGATAGACAACACAATAAACTTGAAACATTGTTGATGGAACCAAGCAGCCTGGAATGCTATAGATTTTGAGCTTAACATGTTATAAAGTAAAGAATGATGTTGTAACCAAGCAGCCTTGGCAAGCAAAGGCAGAGGATGAATCATTCAAAAAATTTAGGATATTCAGCTTCCTTCTTCATATAAATCAATTTCTTTGCTCAAACTTCTCTTTTCTATTCTGTGTTCGTCCCCTAATACCCTCCTGAAATCAATATACCTTCTCTTCACTCAAAGAGCATTACATACCTTCCTTCTTCACACCATTTAATTTTCTTGCTATGCTGCAAACTTTCTCTTTCTATTTCATATAAATATTTTTTCTTTTGTGCTTTTCTTTCTTACTTTTACATTCAGGATGCAACCAATTATTAGTCGCTAGAGAATAAAACTTGAAAACACAAATGCAGTAGTGTAAATTCTGCTATATGCTAGTTTCTTTCTTGAAGGTGTGATATCATATAGCGATAAGGTGGACCGAAGAGGATAACTGGATTAGGATTTGTAAAACCTTATATATTTGTGGATTTTTTAGGTTATGCTAGGATTATTGGCTTGTTAAGAATTAATGAGAGGTTGTCAAGCTACATGAACTATTAACAAATTAAGTTTAGTTGGCTTTTTTTACCGACTTGAGTGTAGATCATGGTAGAATATTGTTGATTTTTTTGTTTAGGAGTAGAAGTAGGTTTTGGCGGTCAATACGTAAAGAGAGAAGGGAGGAATGATTTCTTCCTTGAACTGAACGTTTCTTCCAAAACTTCGTCTATTTGATGCTCAATGTTGTATCATTGTCTTTGATGCCGTCAAGGTTGGTAAGGGCATTCATGCACACAATGGTCTGTGTATCAGTACAAGTTTCTGTTTCTGTTGTGCATGTGTTTTTCTGGAAGACATTCCTAGTGAAGCTGCAGTACTTATTATCAATTGTCTGATATGTGGAGGTATTAGAAGCAACTGATTATTTTATAAACTATAACAATCCGTAATTGAGTTTAAATTAGATCTCTTAAGAGTTGTTGATGATTGCTGATTGCTTTATTAAGAGTTTGTTGGATATATTATTGTATATATTCATCTTTTACAAGTTTATTCATAACCAATGCTCTCTAGAGGAAGAAGAAGATGATGATGAAGCAGAAGAAGGATGACTTAACTACTTGTTTTGAAAGATATTGAGATGTCAATGCAAGAAATTTTATCATTCATATGATTGTTTTGTATATATACTTATTATAAACATTAACGGTGTGTGTAAAAGCTTTTATATTTATTCTTTGTAATTCATGTACATTCATTTTTTTTTTCTTTTTTTTTTTCCCTTTTTATTGTATTTAGTCTTATTTTAGAGGTAAGGCTCATTATGTCCCCCTCTGTCTAGGTGTCATTTTTTTTTCAATTAATAAAATTTTTCTCGTACC